GCAAGGGATGCTCCCACAGTTTGCCTTTCCCCATGCAGCCGTTGAAGCATGTGAAAAGTGCTGTTCCAGCGTGTTTCCACTTCATTCACAAGTTTAAGAACTGGCCTGTTCATCTCTTGCTGCACATGGGTCAACATTTCTTTGGCAGAGGTGCTGCTTCGAAAATAGGTGACCACCTTTTTAGCTTTGTTCCGAATGTCACACAGAGCTGTACCTGATCAAAAGACTTTTTAACCATGGTGTTAAGTGCATGTGCAATGCAAACTGAATGTCTCACTTGCAGAATTCTTGCACAAGCAATCATGTTTGCTGCTGCATCTGTGACAAGACACTTCACTTTGTCCTTGATTGCCCACTCCATCATGACATTCGTTTTCACCAGGGCCATATTTTCCGCTGTGTGCCTGTTTGGGAACTTCTCAACATCCAACAACACTGTATTCAGCTTATAACTGTCATCAATGTAGTGGCAGGTTATTGCAAGATATGCATCCATGTTGATAGAAGTCCACATATCCGATGTTATAGACACAGCAGTTGCTTTTTCCATGTCTGCCTTGGCCTTCCTCTTTGCTTCTTCATATTTTGAAGCCACCATTTTCTTTAAAGCCTTTTTGAGTTCACAAAACAGTTATAGTAAAATTATATTATTAGTGATAAAGATTTATTATATAGATTATACATAAAAATCAACCTCTGCTGCTATCCTCACCTGTCTGGTTGGGATTATATAGGAAGGATCAAGGGCATGGATGAGGCCCTTGAAACCCTCATCCTCAACCACTGTAAATGGCTGTGAGTCTTTTATGACCATGTTGACCAATGCCTCATCAACCATTTGCTTGCGAGATACTATAATGAAAGAAGAAATATATAATAATAATAATAATTCATTACATTTATATAGCGCTTTTCTAGGCACTCAAAGCGCTTTACATAGAGGGGGGGATCTCCTCAACCACCACCAATGTGCAGCATCCACTTGGATGATGCGACGGCAGCCATATTGCGCCAGAACGCTCACCACACACTAGCTTACTGGTGGAGAGGAGACAGTGAAGAAGCCAATCAGTATATATGGGGATGATTAGGAGGCCATGGTGGACAGAGGCCAATGGGCAGATTTGGCCATATACATAATATATTAATTGAAATCATGATAATGCATTCACAATTATGAATAAAAATCATGAAGCAACAGTCCTACTTTGTGTGCTTGGATTGTGGGTCTGAGCAGTCTCATGATGTGTTGTTTCCATAAACAAGCTCTTTGTCACACACCAAGCATCTCACCTTCTAAAAGAGTTATATGAAAGTAAGAAATTATGTACAACAATAACATTTTTTAAATAATATATATATATATGCATACACACATTGGAAGCTATAAGCTCAAAATATTCCCAGATAGGGGAAGTCTTCCTTTTTTTGGCTGTTGCCATTGCTCTAAATACAAACCCTTCACCAAACACCAACACCCTATCCCCTCTCCCCTAAGCCCACCCTAATCCCAAATACCAACACCAAATTACCTAAAATCACCAAAAGTGCAAAGATATTACAAAAAAACAAAAAGACAAAAGAATAGCCTAAGTAGTGAAAAATAAATTTAGGTTATTTAATGTATTATATTTATTAACTTTCAAAGTACAGCACTCTCCTGAAACACCCATCAACCAGACTGAGCCCCGCGTTTCCATTACCCTTCAAATTGCGCAAATTGAAATTGCGAATTAAAAATACGCTCAATGGAAACACGTCAATTTCGCAAAAACTCCCATTTATCGCAAAAAAGTTTTTACGCTCGCATGAGGTGGTTTTTCAGGCAATTCGAAAAAGGAATATTTCGCAAAACTGCAATGGAAACAGTTTTTGCGCAATTACAGTCACTTGACTTAGAAGGCGCGTGTGTTTGGGGTCCGTGTTAGGCTATTGCCTCCATTCGTTTTTCCTTTAACTCGTATGAAAAACGAAAAACATGCTTTCTTCTTTATTAGTTTTTAGACTGGTGAAAAAATATTCACATACAAACTTATTTTCCTTATATAGCCTATTGCTTATTTAATTGAAAATCAAATAGGCCTAATTGACATAGGCCTACAACTTTGCGAAATTTGATTTCTGCATTTCATTTTGACCCGGAACATTTAGATAATATGGAGCGTCTGTGAAAAAAATAAAATAGCCTAAATGAAAAAAAAATCTGTGGCGACGGTTTTGCAATCCGTCCCCTCAAGTTTATAAACCGTAGGCCTACTCATGGTTGAGTACAAACTGTTCCCTCGATCGGAAAAAGCTCAGTAGGCTATAATAGAATAGCAAAAAAAAAGACTTCTCATACAAAAAAAGAAATATAACACAAACTCATTTTCCAAAACTGTAAAAGGTTATATAAAAATAATACATTCATCAATTATTTTATGATAAACATATTACTGTCTTAAGTGCAGTCATTTATAGTTATAAACGCAAATAATAATAATTATTATTATTAGCCTATTACATTTATTAGGCTACATATTTAGAAGGCGCTTTTATCCAAAAAAGGAACAAAGCAATTCGTCAAATGTCATTCATAATACAGGTTAGACAATAATAATACAGGGCTAAGATTATCACAAATAAACACAAGATTTTGACGTATAGCCTATCCAAGTGTGTGTGCGAGTGTGGAGCGCGCAATGCATGACGGAGGCGCGGACGCGAACACTTGCATTTTCCTGTCAACAGTGGAAAGAACTTAAAATACTCTATCATTTATGGTCATACAGAAAATAATAATACATAATCCGCAACTACTTTTATTTGTGTAAACTCACAATAACAAGAAAACGTTCTTCTTTTGCAAAATAAAAGAAAACAATCAGGCGCGCTTTCATGATCTCCGTGAACTGGAACATGTCTCAGAAATGAACTGAAACAAAATATAGCCTATGTAGGCTAAAGCTTGAAATGTCCACTTTTAAACGAACAAATTCAAATCGAAAGCAAATACCTTCTGATTATGTAATCCATATGAAAGGTGCATTTCTCTCTAAAGGCGCATCCGTTTTACAGTGGAGAAGAAAATATGTTTGCAGTCGGCACTAACACTAGTTTATTAATAAACAATTAAAATGCCTCGTTATTTTTTCAGACACATTTATTATCATTAGCCTATAATCACCTATAAATCACCTCTCTGTCGGCTATGGTTCCAGAGACATGGCTCTTCTTATTTAGCACTGCGGGAAAAATATCATCGGGTTCTAATTTGGCCTTAGAAAACCAGTAAAATAAAAAAACTTTCATATTAATTTGTGAATATTTTATATGTTTAATAAAGGGGCAAAAAGTCATAAACAAAAATCTGAAAATTCGTCTATATTTATTTTTTTGCGTAGCATTTGATGTGTACTACAGTTCAAATTGAAAATTTGTTGTTCAACTTTGCGCTTTAAAAATACAACAACCGTTCATTTTTCGTTTTTCAATAGGCTACGGGTTAAAAAAGGAAAAATAAATGGACGCAAAAGTACACGGACCGTTTGGACAGAATACGAGACAAAGTTCTTTATTAAATTCATAAAAGGAAAAAGAATTCCAGGAATACTGGATTCTAAACCTCAAAGAAATGCCACAATCAAGACCTTGGAGCAGAAATGAGGGAGAAACACACAGAAACACCTCATGTGCCGTTCACAGTATTAGGGTCTTTCCGTACCATTAATGCTTGGATAACACACCACGTCTCCTTCCATTAATAATAATAATGTCTAGTGCGGTGGCTGCACGTCTATTCACATGTGCTATAAACCTACAAACGTCCAAAGTCGCATAACATCGGTTAATGGAAACGCCGTCATTTCGCAATAGTTTTTTATCGATATTTAGAAAAAATCGCAAAAGTTTTGCGCAAATCTGTAATGGAAACTCATTAAATGAGAAGATCTGGAGTTCGAGCCTTCTGACACCCAAAGCGAAACGCGCACGTGATTGGACAGAAAGTGAGGCTTCGTTTGTCATCGATCACGTGACTCTGGGGAAACCAATACACACCCCGATACGGGGCTTCACTAGAAATTGTGTCGCATCTGTGATACGCGCATCGAAGCTTCAGTGTCATACGTAACATCACTAGTGTCTTTATTACACTCAATTAGCTGTCATCCACCCTCGATTGAATAGAATGTTTTTATTACTCGGCCCGCTCGACCCGCGGATTGTGATCCGTGCAGCACTAATTCAATTCAATTCAAATTTATTTGAATAGCGCTTTTCACAATATATATTGTTTCAAAGCAGCTTTACAGAAAGTGCCTTTCAGAAATGTACATAGAAAAATACAGTTAATCATCATGTATTAATTTAGGGCATAACATATCGCCGGCATTGAGTCGTCTCTTCACAGGCGTCGAGTCGTCTCATCGGAGGTGTTGGGGCATCTGAAGTCTCCGTGAGAGGCTGGATACAAACTGGAGCTGACGAACGCTATTTACCTCGGGACTAGCGTCCTGAGATAACAGCAGAAAAGCAGATGGGAAATAATTAGCGTAGCTGCTGTTCATAATATTAATGCATTCGATCTGATTCAACAGTGGTATAAAAGGTAAGCATTATATGAATGCTTGGCTGAAGAGATGCGTCTTTTTGAACTGGGAGAGCGAGTCTGAGCAACGAACAGTATCAGGAAGGCTATTCCAGAGTTTAGGAACTAAATGTGAGAACGCCCTCCCTCCTTTAGTGGACTTAGATATCCTAGGAATGACCAGAAGCCTCGAATTTAGGGATCTTAAAGAACGCGATGGATTGTAGGGCGATAGAAGGTCCATTAAATACACAGGAGCTAAACCATTTAGGGCTTTATAGGTCAGTAATAGTACTTTGTAATTGATACGGAACTTAATAGGTAACCAGTGCAGAGATGATAAAATCGGTGTTATGATCATATTTTCTTGACCTAGTAAGAACTCTAGCGGCTGCATTTTGCACTAACTGTAGCTTGTTTATTGAGGATGCAGGACAACCAGCTAATACAGCATTACAGTAATCTAGTCTCGAGGTCATGAATGTGTGACGGGATAAAAATTAAATGCATGAACTAACTTTTCTGCATCGGAAACAGATAGCATGTAACGTAATTTAGCAATGTTTCTAAGGTGGGAAAAGGCAGTTCTTGTAACATATTAAATATGATTTTCGAAAGACAAGTTGTGGTCTAGTATAACACCCAGGTCTTTTACTGTAGTGGATAAAGTAACAGGACATCCTTCTAAATTAAAGTTGTATTGTAAGAGATTTTGTGGGTAGTTTTTTGGACCAATAAGTAATACCTCAGTTTTATCTGGATTTAATAGCAGGAAATTACACGTCATCCAGCATTTTATATCTTTAAGACACTCTGTCAATTTAGATAAGTTAATGTTTTCATCTGTCGTGATGAAATATGTAATTGAGTGTCATCAGCATAGCAGTGGAAATTAATTCCATGTTTTCTTATAATATTGCCAAGTGGCAGCATATATATTGAGAATAGCAGAGGGCCTAACACCGATCCTTGCGGCACTCCATAGTCTACTGACGTTATCTTCTTTCCCCATTTAAACAGACAAAATGGTAACGGTCTGATAAGTACGATCTGAACCAGCTTAATGCCTGTCCCTGAACACCAGTGTAGTTTTTGTAGTTGTTCTTGAGGGGCCATAATTAGGGCTGCTTTTAGAGCCTTTTTATAACGTGACACACTGTCTTTCCACGCGATTCTAAAGACCTCTAAATTAGCTTGTTTCCATTTACGCTCTAAGTTACGAGTTTCTCTCTTGATAACATGTGTAGTACTATTGTACCATGGTGCTTTAGTTTTCTCTCTAAGGGTGCTTTCACACCTGGATCGATTGGAGACGTTGTTCCGAAACAAAGGGGCGTTTCCCTTTTGGCCCGGTTCGTTTGGTCATATGTGAACACAACAATCGCACTCTGAATCGGAACAAAACAACCGAGCCGAGACCGCCTAGAAGAGGTGGTCTCGGCTCAATTCCATACGAACCCTGGAGCGGTTCGTTTGCAGTGAGAACACAACGAACCGGAACAAATCAACTTTTGGCAAGGTGGTCTCGTACCTTTATGTAACGTACTGCTGTCGGAGTTTTTTCGCCTTTGCGCGGCACTGCTCGACGGACCGTTCATAACCCCTCTCTTTCATTTTATAGCTGATCTTCTTGTACACTTCGGTGTTCTTGTGTGTAGTGTCCAACATCCGGGAGATGTGTTCTTCCGACCAAATATCTATGAGGCATTTCACCTCTTCGTAGCACCAAGTCAACCCGCGATTCGTTTTGTGTTAGGCTATTGTTGTCATGGCGATGTCCCCCAATGGAATGCGCGACCTGCACGCATGAGGTAGTGACGTAATGGCGTAAGGAAAGCCCTCGAAGGGTGCGCGATTTGGACCGCTTTACAACAGTGTGGTGTGAACAGAGTGACGTATTAAATTGATTCGGAACAAAGTATTCTGTTTCGGATCTGTTCCGGAACAAAACAAATCGATCCAGGTGTGAAAGCACCCTTACCATTTTGAATCTAATTGGTGCAACAATATCTAATGTACTAGAATTTTTTTTTGCTCAAACTGCTAGTCATTTCCTCTAGTTCATCTGTTTGACTGTGTTCACTTAGCAGCTGAGATAGATCAGGTAAGCTATTTGAGAATCTATCTATAGTGGTCGGAAGGATTGTTCTGCCTGGTCTATTACGTGGCGCAACATGACAAATTTCAGCAGTGCGTAGTATAAAAGTTACCATGTAATGATCAGTGAGATCGTCACTTTGCGGTATAATATCTATATCGGTTGGATTGGTTCCGTGTGATATAATTAAATCTAGTGTATGATTTAGACGATGAGTGGGACCACTGACGTTTTGCTTGACCCCAAAGGAGTTTAATAAATCTGTTAACGCAGTCCCTAACGCATCATTTGTGTTATCCACGTGTATGTTAAAATCTCCAACAATTATTGCTTTATCAGCATTGACCAATAGATCTGAGAGAAAGTCTGCAAACTCTTTTAGGAATTCAGTATATGGCCCTGGAGGTCTATATACAGTAGCCAAGGCTAGAGATAATAGGGATTTCTTTCTTACATCTAAGAGCGTAACGTTTAGCACAAGTACTTCAAACGAATTAAACCTGTGACCTGTTTTCTGAGTAACATTAAGAATATCTCTATAGATTGTTGCAACTCCGCCGCCACGACCGATCAGACGGGGCTCATGCTTATAACAGTATCCTGGCGGAGTGGACTCATTTAGACCGAAATACTCATTTGGTTTAAGCCAGGTTTCAGTAAGGCAAAGTACATCGAAGCTATTATCTGTGACCATTTCATTTACAATAACCGCCTTAGGTGTGAGCGATCTAATGTTTAGGAGACTTAGCTTTAGAAATTGTTTTTGTTCGCTGATATTTAGATTTTCTGGTTTAATTATAATAAGATTTTTCCTAGATCCTACACTAGATTGTTTGGCCTCACTAGACGAGGAATAGACACAGTTTCTATATAATGTTCTACACTACTTATATCAATTAAGTTGAGACAGCAAAGACTGTGATTTGGAATTTGACTTACTAGTCATACGGAGTGTAACGTCTTGGAGATGTTGTCCGACAGAACAGCCGCTCCGATTCTGCTGGGGTGCAGGCCATCAGCACGGTAGAGCCTAGCTCGCTCCCAGAACAGATTCCAATTATTTACAAAGAGCAGTTTCTGTTCATTACACAATGACATAAACCATTCATTTAGTGCAAATAATCTACTGAACCTTTCCTGTCCTTGTCGGTACGTGGGAAGCGGTCCAGACACGATGATCGTTGCCTCAGGCGCTGTGCTGCGCACCGTCTCGATCAGGCTGCTGTAGTCCTTCTTCAGAACCTCCGTCTGCCGCAGCCTGATGTCGTTCGTTCCCGCGTGCAGCACCACAGCTCCGACGCGCTCGTCACCGTTCAGGATCTCGGGAACCTGTACGGCGACATCAAGAACACGAGCACCAGGAAAGCAGTGAGTGCGCACCTTACCCTTACCTGAGGTAGCACGGACATGACGGACCATGGAAGTGCCGATGATCACGGCGTCGTCGCGTTCCGACTCGCGAAGAGGGGAGAAGCGGTTCCGGGTGGAGATCTCGAAGACCGGGAGGGGCGGGGAGGTTCTTGCTCTGGTCCTGGCTCGTGTCTTCCGCTGTGGGATCACCCAGGGTCCATGGTGTTGGGTCGGTGCCGGAGTGAATGATGCCAGAGATGATCGCGTCCTCCTGGGCAGAGAAACGCACGGAGTAGACGAAGTCGGAGTCAAAAAGTTACTAGCCACTGACTTATGTGCATCGGCGCGTGACGTTTCAAGCGCTGATCGCCGATCCCGCAGCTCGGCTTGTCTCTCTAGCAGACCACGGATCTGTTTCTCCACCGATTCCAGCTCCAATCGTACCGAAATCAGCTCGAATGTGTCCTCACCTGCACTCAGAGGTAACGTTAGACATACATCCGATATGTTCGCCATTATAACAGATGAACAATAAATTAGTAGTGATACTACCAATATCACTACTAATTTAGGACTGGAATGCTGGATATAACCTGTATCCTTTCAGTGAAACGGGTGTAAAATCAGACGGTCAATAGGCGCGAGGCCACGCGTGAAATGCTAGCGGGCTGAAAGGCTAGTAGCCGAGATTCGCAAAGTTGGATCTAAGTAGCGATATCAAAGCAATCCGATTGTTTTTTATAGGGAATAGTATCGAGGATAAGTTCACACGATGTAAAAATAGAAAGTGCTTGTTTATAAATGAGTGGTAAAGAAGAAAATCAAGGATTAATGAATCAATTCGACGGAGCTACAAACACAAACACAGACCGCACGCGCATGCGCATAAGGAATCCCTTAGGTAAAGTCTATCGGCACTATCGGCAAACTACACGGTTAGAGAATGGACACAAGCGGGAATCGCGACAGAACTGTCACGGTGGAAAAAGTGTATATGAGCACGTGACTGTCTGTCCGAGTTTTGTCGAGAGGCGGAGCCAATAGTATCTGTCTGCAGTCTGCAAGACTTCAAGTTACGCCCTTTCAAGTTACGCCCACTTTAGCAAGACTTCAAGTTACGCCCACTTTAGCAAGACTTCAAGTCACGCCCCTTCAAGTTACGCCCCTTCAAGTTACGCCCACTTTTAGTCACGCCCCTTCAAGTTACGCCTACTTCCAAATTACCGCGAGCACAGTTCCATATGCTCTTGCACGAGTTTAACATAACAGAAACCTCTGAGATGACATCTTCAAAATTCTTGTTTTGTCTGTATATACAGCAAAGCAAGTTGGAATCTGCATTAGCACCAATGTATTGATAATGTATTGCTAGAAACCATATTGCAATGTATTGTTTTTTTTCAATTTGTCCTTGTGGAATTGGGCTTTGTCTAAAACTTTTTTTTCTTCTAAATATATTTTTTTAAACAAATATTTTTAAACATCTTTCCATATCGTATTGTATGCCTGATGTGCTGACAATTCATTTTTGACATCATTAATGAACAGTTAAATGCACCGCTGTCAAACACATCTTATGATACTTTGAGACAAATTAACTACAAGCACACTCATCACAAACACTTTTATTGAAGGGCAACACAAGGGTTTATGCAAACCCAATCTATAAGTTCTGTCTTTCAGGCACTAATACGGTCATAGAAAATCAGACCGTGCCTCCAGCCGCAATAAAAAAGTCCATGATGCAGTATCCTGCAAAATCATTTTCAGAGTAGAACCCTTGTAGTTTTCCTCTTTGTCCACATCCCCAGTATCCTTCACAGTCTTTGTACATATGACATTGAATGCAACGAGAGATCAGATAGGGAATTCTGTAGGTCCTTCTATGGTCCTCTGAAAAGGAGTTCCAGTTTACCACACCTGATGACAAAAGAAGTATGGTGTAAAACATGTTTGCATTTTTTTCTTTTTTTTAATACGAAATTTTCTGGTAGCAGTGTGTCTTCAGTATTCATTTTATTAGTGGTGTGCCTCCACAATATTTTTTTTTAGCAATTAAAAGAAACACTTATTGCCAAAAACAAAAAGCATTAGTCTAGTGTAGATTATATTATGATGATTAAATTATCATATTTTAATATATCATATTATATAATTATCATAAATTATAAAATCAAGATTATAATTGTGAGAATTAATTTTAGCACTAGAACCTTGACTTGAATCATAACTTTTGTCCACTTAACTGTCTATGTCTGGGCCTATGTAGAATCGTCACTCAAAAGCACCACAGCTGCACAAAAATCACAAAGGAAACAGTCATATACTGGTATAGAAAAGAATAAATTAGGCAACATCTATGTACAACATGCATTTACATTTTAATAATAGCAAGTGACCACTCCAGGGCCATCTAATGCGTTGTGTTGCTGGCATCTGCGGGACACAGATTGAGTAGCTTTTCTTTGCCCTTGCTGTGATGTAAAAAGCGGCGAGCCGGCATGTCCTAGTTGAGTGCGTGATCCTGTGAGTGGGAGACTTTCACCTATAGCTCAGAGGAGGACAGAAGGAAAGAGACATAACTTACTGTCTAGCCAGCAGAAGTGTGCTTCCTTCAGAAAGGATTCCTCTCTCACTATCCTCCAGAACCGAGTGCATGTGAGAGCAAGGGTGCAAATTGCAGGATCACCATCTTGTAGTACCACAAGGATGAAGATCATGTGCAAAATTTCCTCAGGCAGCTGTGAACATAAAACACGAGTCACTACAAAAGCAGTAGGCTCAATAACGGGTCTCCATCATCATCATCGACCAGGAAAGGGTGAAGGATGAACATGCCTCTTAATTGGCATGTTCTGTCGCCTGCTCATTTGTGTCCTGCTAATAGCATATGCTGGAGGTCTTTAACCCTGCTCCTGTCCAACCCGCTTCAGCACACCTGCCTGTGATTTTCAAGCGATCCTGAAGAGGTCAGGTGTGTTTGATTAGAGTTGGAGCTAAACTCTGCAGGATAGTGGGTCCCTTGGAGCAGGGTTGAAGACCTCTGCCATATGAAGTTATTGTTGCATCTTGGATTAAGCTACAGTATGTAAGAAGTGGCAAGCTGGCATGTCTACATGGAGTGCACATATAACTAACTGTGATCCTGTGAGTGAGTTTAAACTATGGCTCCTAGATGTGCTTCACAGATACATGCCTGCAAAATGGCAATTCCGTCTGGAGAGGACTCGACTCTGCATGGCTCCTTCGCCTTGCAGCGTTTTAAGGGGACAGGTTCCTTTAAAACAAGGGAGTGAGATGCATATTACATAATAGCCTAGTACATGTAAAAGCACAAGAAAGATGATTACTTTAGACCAAGTTTTTGGACCTGTAAAAATTGCGCCATAATTCTTACCATGGTGACCTCATCATATTCCTCTTCTTTTAGGGATGCGGAAAATTGGGTCCAGACTTCCCCTGGCCATCTGTATGCCCTGCTCGGTAAAGTGGGCAAACCTCCGGCCATGGCTGTAGTAATAAGTAAAAAAAAAAAAAAAAAAAAATGACCTTGCTGCGGCAGATTACTGCTAATGATATTTCAAATTTATCAAAAAAAAATGTAAAGACACTGGTACCCTTCAATCTCAAGATTCTCCACCAACATTGTGCACCACCACCTCCTTAAGCACGGCATGTCATGCTGAAGAAGAGAACGGAGTACAATACATTTACAGTTCAAGTTGCAAGTTAATTTTGAGGCCCAACTCAATTTTCCAGTCCGATAGGGCTTAACAGGCCCACTTTATATCAAGCAAAAAAGGACGACAATCCCTGACTTAAACCCCCATAGAAGTAAGAAAATAAAAACTCTCTCAAAAAACCCCAAAGGTAAAAAGGGAAGAAATATCAGGAAGGACTTCCTGGACAAAAGCAAAAACCAAATTCCACATAATATAACCATATCTATGAGCATTGAAGTTATACTTACAATTGTGAAATCAAATGGAGCCTCCATGACAGCATACCAGGAGTACAGCAAATATAGCAAAGTTGTGAATGTACTAAAGTTGTAATTCTGTTTTTTTTTGGGGGGGGGGGGGGGGGGGGTGCATGTGAATTAAATGTGAAAATAAAAAGAGAGAATCCTCTTTCACAACAGTATGATTTCCATTACATTAACAAAAACTGCTTTAGGTGGAACTGAGGAGAAGGGAATAAACTAAAGCTGCGTCAAAGAGCGCTGACACGGTGCTGCCACCATTTGGGCCTTATTCCATTTACACAAGTCCAATGCCAGTAAAGGAAAGGAAAGGAAAAAGCTGCATGTGTGAAATGGGCAAGACACCATTAATGGCCATTTTGTGAAAGATCATGAATCAAATTTATATTTTACGGGAAAACTGTTCACTCACCATCATCATCATGAAGATTCCACAGTCAATGCAAAATTGTTGTTGAGGGAGCCCCTGTTTAAAATAAATTAAAAATAAGCATGTTTAATAAACAGCACACTACAAAAGCTTAAAGATTTTGAGATTTGTGTTAATGTGAACGGGTGAAAATGTAAAATGAGAAATAGTTAAAGTATTAATAGCCCAAGTTGTGACAAACCAATAATTCATAAAAAAAATTGATAAGCAGACAAATGGCCTTTGCAAATGATATCTTACCTAATTATTAAGATATCATTTAATTCTGTCAATGGTCCAGAGACAATGGCCCTCATTTATCATTCTTGCGTAGAAACGGGCGTATATGTTGGCGTAAGATTATGCTTACACTCCTCTCACCGCCTGATTTATGAAGCTGTGCGTACCTTTGAAATCCAGGTGTACGCAATGCCTGCCCTTGATAAATCCCGCGGCTAAAAACGATCGTCATTAGAATAACACGCCCCTATATATTCAAGTCTCCGCTTCCCCCACGCCCTCATTTTACGCCATGGACACACGGAAGACGGCATAGAAGAGAAACTTCTCTGACGTGAAGCCGAAATGACCTATCACAATGCATTATTTTACAGCACGTCTTTTGAATTAGCATCTTACAGTCTATGATTAGCATTCAATTTCGAATCACGTTACATGTATTGGGGTGTAGGCTACAATAGTGATGATGATGATGTGATGTGGAGTACCATTCATTCACATTAATAATTGCATGACAATTTGTAATATTCTTCTTATTATAAGTATGATTTGTATTATTAATGACGCTTTTTGTTATTTAGAAGAAGAATGTCATTATTATTATTTGTATTATTATTATTATTTAAAAGAAGAAGAATGTATTTTTTATTATTTTGTCAGTCTGAATTATTTTTTGGTCATTGAAAGCCTTTCGTTACCGAACTCAGTCCGTGCGCACCTGCCGGGCCTAACCATGAAACGTCAGGGTAAAGCGCACAGGCTCGCAACTGAAGGAATACATATGGCTACAAATCAAATGCTTTGGTAAAGTCACACAAATTAAACATTGAAGTCCATGTTGCACAAAAATAAACACTGAAGTTTATAATTACTATGTTGTTGTTGTTTTTTACTGTGGGTCATAATATATAATATCTTTTAGTTTGTCAGTGCGTTTTGTGGTGTTAGGAATTGTTTTTCTGCACATTTCCGCACTAACTCAAAACGTGCGTACACCACCTCCTGAGCTGGCGTAGGATTTGAGCGTGCCGTACGCCAACGTCCATATTGATAAATCTCAAAGTCACCGTGGTTTTGGGTGTAAACGAACAAGTTCATTCAACTTAAAATAATTTGTAACCTGGCTGCCTTAAAATGTTGTGTTAAGTAAGCTAAAAAACTTCAGTTGTTTGTACATATATTGGAGTTCTTTAAACCTAGAATTATATGTTGGGGTAACAAAGGTGAAGCTGACAAAATAGTCTGATCAACTTTAATTAAAGTTTAATGAATTAGTTTTTTAGTTACTCCAACAAGACATTAAAAGTTGTGTAAACCTAAATCCCAGTTAAGACAACATAAAATTAGTGACACCAACAAACTTGTCTGCTATCTTGAGTTGTTTAAACTAAGCATCTTGTTGAGTCAATTTATAATTATTAGTTGTGCAAACAATATAAAAATTGGCTAAACTATTAATTTAGTTGAATTAACTTATTTTTTTAAGGCAGCCAGGTTACTTTTTCAAGAATAGTTCATTTTAGTTGGAATGTTAAGTTCATTCAACAGACTGAACTACGCAATTTGCCCACACAACTTAAGTTTCTGTTTTCTAAAGTACTACATTAGAAAAGTTTTATTATTAAGTGTTTTAATTATTCTTATTTGTTTTGATTATTTTAATTTC